CTCGAGTAATTACTCGAGTCCAGAGCAGATACTCGAGTGTGGACTCGAATCTTAATATGCTGGACTCGCACACCTCTAGTCACACGTGTGCAGGCCGCCCATCCGACCCCGACGCACGCCAGAATAGACACGTGCGCGTGCCAACAACGGCATGAAAGAAGGCCGCTGATTGGTGGCACGCAATCGGCTAAGCGAATAATGGTTCACGATGTAGGTGCAATGGATGGTTTCCGGGAATAGCCTAGATAAATCTAAAAGTTCGTTGTGGATAAAAAAAATGAGCGAAGCCTCGTCTGCGGGGACTGTTCCATCTGGAAGCGACCTCGTTGAATCCGAGCTTGCTAATTTAAGTGTTCGTTGAATCCGGGTTATTTTTTTTAATTGATTTTAAAGGAAAAAACCCCCTGGGGAATCCATCTCATTTCGTTGAATCCGAGCTCGTTGAATAGGAGGGCGTTCCACTGTAATGTTATATGTAGGCCAATTCTATAACCGATAGGCTCCGCGTTTTGATAATATAAAAGTTTATTCATTCATTTCAACAAGCACACAGCGGATTAAATCTTAGGGCGGTGTAGATAACTTCAGTAGGTCTACTTTACTTTGTCCCACATTCACACAAAGACAAAACTGAATCTCTGCAATACTGTTGTCCTCCCAACTCTGCTGTACGGTGCTGATATCAGGGCCAGTGTACCAAAGCCATGCCAAGAAGCTTAATCATTCCAAAATGCCTTATGAGAGTTCTTGTGAGTCAAATGGCATCATACCACATACCAGTACCAAAGTTACAACGTTCTCAAAATGAAAAACAAAGCAAATAATTTTAATCCCGATGTCTGTTTTCTTAGCTCAAAAGAACTAAAATTCGCAGGGCTGGCCATGTCGTAAGCTTTGTTTCAGAATCCCAAAGGCAGTATTCTGTTCTGAGCTGTCCTCGTGGTACCAAGTAACGGAAAGTTGAGTTGACGTACTAAAAATCTCGATCCCTCTCTCTTTGCGCGCGCGCGTGTGTATTACTATTTGTTTCTCTCTTTCTGTTCTCTCTCTCTGTCGCCCCCACCCCTCCCTCCCTTCAGTGGTTAATAGGGAGGGAGTGTTGTTGTTGTTAGTGGTCCAAGACAGTATAGCTCGTATAACTTATAACTGTGCCGGGTTGACATTACGATTATACACTGATGGCTGATGGTGGACAAGGTTTTGTGCCGCGATCGAAATCACAAGGGAGCCAGAAAAAAAATTCCGTCTTAGTAGACAGGGGGATTTAGGGGGTTTCTGAGACCCAGCTGATGGGATCAAGGGTCGCTTGTCTGGTCGACAAGCAGAGGTCAAAACTTCACATCTTTCCAGACCCCAACTACATTGCACCACCTCACCCATCAAGAGCAGGATGTCCCGTTCATATTTATTAAGTTATAGCCTACATGGTGCCCGTTGAGGGATCGGGTCGGTCTGCTAGCCAGATTGAGGGCGCAAAGCGATTATCGAGGCACAAGCCGATCGCCCCCGACTCATCGCTTAAAAAAGAAACACGCTCATTTTCAGGTGACGAGTCCGGCGAACGACCTGACCCCCATCCACAATGGGCACCCGGTATTAGAACAGGACACAATGGACTGAGCCACCACCACCATACGAAGTTCAAGATCGGAAATTCAGAGCAGTGTCAGTCCACAACCAGCAACCGAACAGGGACCTATCTCTTTTGCAAGTGCAAGTCTGCGCAATGCATGAGGCACTTAGAATTAGAAAGAAACATTGGCTCAACTCTAGGCAAAGAGGCCCAAAACTCTATTGAGGAAAGGAGGATCTGAGGCAAACAGCAGCTTTCGCACTAGACTGAGTTGTCCATTTATATTTAACTCTTTTTGAGCCACATCGGCCTTTACGTCACACACACTCACATATTTGTGTGAGTGTTCTTGGTGAAACACCAAACCAATGTGCCAGGATCTGGACAATATAGATGTATCTTATCTTATCCTTTGTTGCCATACAGGCTTTTATTGGCCTGACACACCTGCGGTGAGTGTAGGCTTTGAAATAAGAACATTCCACTCTAAATTTAGATGCTGACGTCCTAGGTTGTATAGTTTCACTGAAATATGTTGTTTAGATCAAAACAAAAACAATTTCTTTGTACACCTCCTGAACCTCAGAAAAACACAGAAATAATTCAATTCTGGGAAGTCAATAGCAGGCTGTCATTTTGGTTCTGCTGTGCAGACCTGCTGACCTATTTATGTTGCTAAGAGGGTTAAAGGTGAACAAGGGTCAAATATTTTCTCCTAACTGATTCACTTTTACTTTCAGGGAAAGCGCAAGGTAAAGTCAGGAGTAACTTCAAAACCAAGTGACGATTATAACTTTGGAGACGAAAACAACAAAACATGCATTAGGACAAAGCAACAACAACCAAAAAATTCAAGTTTTTATATTTTTATTTCACCTTTAGACCATTTGCATAAAAATATGCACTCAGAGGATGTTTAAAATAAAACCACAATCTTTAAAACACAGGCCTATTATAATTATGTGCATGGAACTTAACTTCATAATAACTGCTTAGATCTGACAGTCTCCACACATTATACAGGACTATATAGTACAAGGAGTTCCAATACCAGTTGTCCAATTTCACTAAGTCCTATGCCCTTAGCCTTCCTGTTGCAATTACTACATGACAAAAATATGTTCAGAAAAATACTGGTTACTGTCATGATAAGTTTCAACCTCACAAATAACACGCCAAGGGACACTTAAAAATTATTACCAACATTAAGCTTGATGGGCTTTGCAGGAAAAAAGGCCACAGAGACAGTTACTTCCCTGTCCACTGTGGAAAAGAATAACGAACTGTCAGGTAGAAACTCCCCCAAACTTGACACTGCGACAGAGCACCATTATTTTTCGTCCAGGACTTAATAATTGACGTAAAAAGCCAGCATTTAAGTTATATAACTCGATACTATAGGCTTTCATAAACTCTAACCTAACTGACCACTACCTAAAAAAAAAAAGAAAAAAAAGAGGCAAAACAATATAACAAGCAGTGAGTGAGGCACAAACTGTAAGAATGAAGTTTTTAATGACAAAGTCAAATGTAGAGGAAGAAGGAGAACTTAGACAAAAAGTTTTCTAAGAATAAATTACATAAAAAACGTTTCTCCCCAATGGAAATCCGTTACTACAAGCAATCAGCTTTTGCCTTTAGGTTGAAGCTCATAAAAGTAAAAAAAAGGCTTCTCACTATACTCAGGAGCAGCACAATAACATCTCATACTGCTCAGAGCTTTAAAAAAAAAAAAAACCTCTGAGAACTCAATATCAATCTATCAATTTCAACATCATTTAAAAATAAAATGCTTTATCATTTAGCAGGAATTTCTTGGCGCAGTTTGTCAATCAAATGACCCAGGGAACTGGCATCAAAGACCATAACAGTCCGCAATGCTTCCATATCTCCTTCATCATCCCACTGTCCGTCTGATATTGAATCCCTCTGCTCTGCTACAGAAAAAGTGAAGTTGAACTCACTCATCTGAAAAACAATGAAAAGAAAAAGATATTGAATACGGTACCTGTTGAGAAGTAAAACTTTTAAGGGTGGCAAAATCTAAAGTGAAACCCCAGGGCTTCTCCCTTGATAAAGTATTAGGTATTAAACCCATTAAATTATCTAAAGTCTGGAAAGCAAGCAACATCTCACCGCGCACCATTATTCGACTTTTAAATTCCAACGTCAAGTCTGTGCTCCTCTACAGCTGCGAAACTTGGAAGACAACAAAGACAGTACAGGGGAAACCATATATAACAGGCCCGGTAATAACAGGGATCCGGTAATAACAGGGATTTAAAAAATCCCCGTTATGTGTCACCAACGATGTCAATCGTAAGAGAAAATGCCTTTCAATTGACAAAAAAATTGAAATAGTCCAGGCTGTTGATAAAAAGCAAGCTCCACCGGCAGAGATTTGTCATCAGTTCGACATTCCACAAGGGTCGATTCACACCATTATCAAGGATAGAGAGAAGATCTGGATCGAAAGAAGACAAGACTACCCGATGCAGATGCTGTGGACCAAGCTCTTCTGATGTGGTTTAAGGAGGCAAGGGGAAAGTGAGTGCCAAAACCCCTGTTCGTGGGTACTTGTGGCAAGGACAACTACCCATGAATAAGTACAGCTGGATTAGTCCACAAATGCTTACTTTCCTTGCATTTCTGATTTAACAGGGATTGGATATAACAGGACTTTTTATCTACTCCCACCATCCCTGTTATATCAGGTTTCCACTGTACTTAATAAAGTCCAGACTTTCATCAACAGATGAATGAGGAGTATTCTAAGAATGAAGTGGCAGGATAGAATAAGAAATGAAGAGCTGTGGGAAAGGACAGGACAAAAGGATATAGAGGTAGAAATAGGACTAAGAAAGTGGCGATGGATTGGACACACCTTGAGAAAACCCATCGAAAACATCACAAGACAGTCGCAGCAGCGGAACCCACAGGGAGCACGAGGCAGGGGTAGGTCACAGGAAACATGGAGGAGATGCGTGGAAAGGGACATGAGAGTGATGAAGCTCACTTGGAATGAGCTTGGAAGGATGGCCCAGGACAGAGATAAATGTATACCCTGCCAGGGGTGAAAGGCATTGATGATGATAATTAAACCTGTAACTTATCAGACACTAAAATTGTCTAATGAAGGAAGACAATAAAAAATCAAGCCCTTCTAAATCAAACTAGTCTTGTTTAACACTTTGCGGTCACACAGCCAGTGGTACAAAAAACAACAACATCTGGTCACCCAGAAAAGGAGAGTAACTGCAAAGCACTTCTCAGGCCTGGCGCAGAATTGTGCCAGTTGAACGGAATGGATAAATTGTAAAATGAGGTAGATTGCAGAATGGAGGAAGGTCAAACAGGATGGGATGCTTATGGAACACTAATGCCTCAATTTTCTTACGCCAACAAACTGACTCAAGTTGAATGGTTTGATGGTGGGGGCACCGTGTATTCATTATCTATTTTTCCATTGCAGATGAGTTACGATTCTCTCACTATTACCAACATTTTTATAGCGAGCCTTATCATTCTAGCACACTGTGTATAGAGGTGAATAAAGAGGGAAAACCTGGAGTTGAGAAGTGTCTTGATAATCTCGAGTTCTCCTTATTCCCACTCATTACAAATGTAGGCCACACACTGTACCAGTATTCAATTCCATTGGTACATAAAACTACTTTCTATTTAAAGCAATCTTTGTACCACAAGATTGATATGAGGAAGTGAATAACATTTAAGTTGCCTATGCATAAAACTTTAAATAAAAGGGAATGAATTTAAACAACAATATCTTCAGTACAGATAATGTAATCAATTAAGTTTGAAAAATCTTACATCACAAAACAGCTGCTCTTCTGGATTGGAGTAGAAAACCTCAGCCCCCATGGCCCCTCCTTCTTTACTTCTGTAGGTTTTGCTAATTAAGACCAGGTGTGTGAAGTCAAATTTTTTCTTCTTCCTTACTGCCTTTTCAATGTCTGCCCTGAAATAAAGAAACATTTATTATAATCAAAAGCACTGTACCAATATATATTCAAACAAAAATCTGAAGAAAAAAAAATCGGAGATTCATGACTGAAAATGTGTCAGGCATATATATATATGAATATATCTATGTAAAACATCTATACTGTGAAGCTCTTTTGAATACATTCTCTTGAATTATCCTATTAATTTTTCTGTCTAACAGGAAGTTTCTAAACCTTTAATTGCTGCCATCTGTCAGTATTGGGCATATTGCAGTCATCATCACTAACATTTCATATCTTATTGTCCTTATTGTTTCCATTATAGACAGGAAATACTAAGCCACTAACACAACTTGTAAGAAGGAAGGAATTTACAATCCCTTTTACAACAAGATCACAGGAATACAACCATTACTTTTTGGTTTATGCATACTAAAACATCAGACTTTAAATTATTATTTAAAAAAAAAAAAAAAAAAATCAGTCTAAGGAGTCCTACATCACTCACTTGAACTTGCTTGTCCTAACCTATAAATTCTGGTAAAATGCAAAAACTAATTTTACCCAAACAGAGGTAACTTTTAGAACTGTCAAAGAATGTTTTACGTGAAAAACTTCAACATGGGAGCTAAGTAATTTTCCTTCCATATTTGAGAGGCTAGGTTCTCAATCCTGCCTACCATAAGATTTGGGGGTGTAGAAACTTGACCCCCCCCCCCCCCCCCATACACTAGCGGGAATCTAACTCCCAATATTCAGGTTGACAGGCATACACCAGACTTGTTACGCTACTGAGCCCTTTGTTATTTTCTTTGGTTTTAAAGGTTGTCTATTTTAACATGCATAGAGGAGAAAGAGAGAAGTCATGACTCACTTCAAAGATTCATATGATGGAAGGGCCACCTGTGGCGGTATGTTGATAAACCTCTCGCTGATCAGCAAACCAACTTGTTTCGATGGATCTCCCAACAATTTCCTCATGAGACCAGGCTCTCCCTTATATGCTTCTTCACATTTTGATGTCAAGAATTCATTGATTTTCTCAATGCAGGACAAGCTCTAAAAAGATGAAAAAAAGTGTGTTTTAGTTATCAAATACCTGTCAGGAATAAGAAAGCAGGGCACAAAGTGTAGGCTGTACAATTTAAAAATGCACTCTTGTCTACCCTGCTCTAGTGGTTTCATGGACGAAATGTTTTCGTAACGGGGGCCTGCCTCACCAACATTATAAGCCAGAGAGTCCTCCACAGTGGCCGACTCTTGAATAGGTTTATTCTAAGGTATGTAAATTAACCTACTCTCGATAAAAATTACATGCTACTCTTACTTTTGAAATTATGCTACTGCTGTAACCTTTCTTTTGCCACAACATTTAGATTCATAGCACACAGGGGAGGTGTTAATTGTACTGACAACGTAAAGAGTGGGCTGAACATACATGACAAGAATGGTATCAGCCCATTCCATTTCTCAATAACCTCATAGACATAAACCAGCTTAAGAAGAAACTGAAGTTGAAAAAGTGCTGGTATATAGTTATATTGATATCTAACACTGCTTTATTGATAACATGTGAACTTCTTGCAGATGAAAAAGACCTCATACCTGATTTTCTGAAATATTGACCACAGTATTGATAGCAAAAACATTATCTCTGTCATCGTCATCACTTTCTTCGTCACTGTCTTCATCACTGCCAGTTCCAAAGTCTTGCTGTTGACATAGTGCACATAATACAAATGAATCAATACATATTCACTTCAAACGTAAAACATAATGCAGATTTTTGGCTGATTTTCTAAAAGACAATTAAAAAAACAAAACAACCCCCCCCCCCCTCCCCACACACACACAATATTGAGTGTTCCTCTTTCTCCGTGAAGGGTGAAAAAGTCAGTAGACAGCTCCCTCAACTATAAATCTCAATCATAGCTTATCACAGAAACAATGCTAATTTAAAAATAAAGTAACCAAAAATTAAAGAAAACGTGCATTAGTCAGAAAAGTTTAGGAGCATTTATCGCAGTTTCTTATTACTGCCTGTTCACTTTTGTCTCACTGCGACTAAAACAAGATAAAACCGAATAGCTCTATATAATATTCTCAGATCTTTGTATGTGGGTCTACAAATTGGTCGTTGGTAAACCAACAAAATCTAACAGCCCATTCATGAAGGTCACTGCAAACTAAGTTTCTGATACAGTTTCTTTGATTTTAGCTTGGAGTGGGTTAAAAAATTATTCGAAATATACAGCACATGCCAAAACATTTGAAAAAGTTGACTATTTTCATCGACATCAGACTTTCATGTACGCTTATGAAACACGGTCCAACAGCCGATGCCGATGAGTATTTTAATTTTTTTGTGACTTGAGCAGAAAAGTCTAGACAATCGTGGGATAAAATCTACAAGCTTACACTTATATGTGGGGACAGCGGGGTGCTGTCTCAAAATGAGCAATTTTTAGGCTATGCTGCAATAAAATAATTATGTTAGTGATTCTGCGTTAGCATCCAAAAGGTGGCTTTTTAATATATGGCCCAAATAGAGAGACGTTTTTATTAATGGATCATGATTTAAAATTTAAAAAAATAAAATGAGCGAGAATTTTTTGTGTGAACACGTACACACAAAAATGAACAAGCTATTGAGAACATTAAAAATATCAGATACTCCAACTAATAATGCCACTGCTCATGACAAAGGAAAAATTTGCAAAGATTTAAAAATATTTATAAATAATTTAACATTGGAACTCCTCTACAGTAAAAACTAACTCTGCCTACATTGTGACCATCATAATGATCTACTTTTAGAAAATACCTTTAAAACCGATCCAATAAAGTCCTGAGCAATGATCACATTTGCCAGCTCCGACAGGTCATCGTTGATATGCTTCACAAAGAGCTGCAGAAAAAGTATTTTGTGTAGTAAATGATTTAATCATATAGAGTACTGTGTATATCATCTTTGCATGCAGTAGCTTCAAATGCTGATTTTTGGCAATAGAAACATGTTTCACGATTACAATACTGACGGTTACAAATAAATCAATAAAAGTAGTACTTTATTATGTCTTGAAGCATTCATAATTGTTGAGCCGAGTTGAGCCCCCAAAGAATTAAAAATCAACACTAGAAAAGGGATGAACAGTGGAAAATTTTGAAGCATAACTGGACCAAAAACTTTTTCATCTTCAATCTACAATATTACATTAATCTTTTAATCTTTGGCGACACTTTTACAATTAGAAAGATAGAAAAATTTAACTCTTGCAAAAATAAAAGCTGTATCAATGAGCCTGTAGACTTTCTTGCAACATTTGCAATTTCAGTCTTATCATGGTTCTGAACCACAGAGACTAAGCTACCACTGAGCACAATATAAAAAAGAAGTAGCCTCCACCTAAGTGCACCCTGCTCGGGAGGGCCCCTTACCGTGCGTTAAAGTGAACCCGAAGGGGGGGGGGGGGGTGTGTGTGTGTGTGTGGGGGGAAGAATGCAACCATCTCATTTTCTTCTTACCTCTTTTGGGGTGGCCATAGCTTTCACCTGTAATAGGTACTACGGTTACGTCTACAAAGTAGGACATACTCTCTGTAATGATGTGCACTTATACAGTAGTCTAGTCTCTGCCTAAGATTCCGGTGCTAGGGAGCAAGGATAATGCGGGATCTTAACTGACGTGCCAAGGGAAGAATCCATAGTGACCCATGTTCAGGCCCACAACCGATAAACCCTTTACTCTAAAATAAACTGAGGTGACCCCTGGGTGGGTTTATGATTTATGGCGAACAAAGAGTAGTCAACCTTGATGACCAATCTCAGCAGCACGGGGCATGCCATTTTCACTTATTATTCTATCGTGAGTCTCATACACTTATCCCATTGCCAGTCTGAATATTATAGCTTTCCATCTCTGACTGAGTTCCCCGACTTTGTCGTTATGCACTATTGAGTTGTGACCACACTAATTAAAATTCAGTCTGTCTCGCAAATTCGGGAGTAGAGACAACTGTTGCTGTGGTCAGGGAAGAGTTCACTGTTCGATGTAATCACGCATGGAGTGAACTTGTAGGGCATACCCACCCAGCATGTGATGTAAGTTTACATGGAGAACTCAGACGCGAGTGTCATGTTTGGGAAAAACAAACGCACGTGCGAATTCACACCTTGGTGTAATCCTGTCAGAAACAAACATAGAACTGTTTGAGTGGAGAGTGCCTTTGTACAGTGGTGCGCTCTTCACCCATCGAGCCTGTGGGGAGGAGGATGAGACTATGGACCACGTGTTCTTGAAATGTCCCGTTAACTATCATTCATGCAAGAACATGTCTACTGGGACATTTCAAAGACCCATGTTCAGCACTCTTCAAGGACCCCCAAGCGAGTTTTGAGTTGCTGTCTGACCGCTTATGACGCCACAGTGCCAGAAGAGAGAGGGAGAGAGGGGGGGAGGGAGGGAGGGAGAGAGAGAGAGAGAGAGAGAGAGAGAGAGAGAGAGAGAGAGAGAGAGAGATAGAGAGATAGATTGTGTGCTTTCTAAGCCGAGACTAATGTCACCCTAACAGCAAAAACACCAGTTACAGTAAATGTGTAGGCCTATGTAATAATACGTATATATCTATACTATATGTGTATATTTGATATGTTTTTATCTCAAACCTGTTGCAAAAGACGCTTGACGCCATGGAAGTCAGAGTCTGATGGTGGCCTTGCATCAAATGCTACGTCAATGACCTGAAGAAAGGCAAAACACAAAATTGTGATTCATGCTATGTTTTTTAACTCAAAACTTTAGGGAAAGCAAAGAGTAAAAGTCGTCGACACAAGAGAAGCTATGACTCATAGTTAGTCAAACATAACATGGGTACTAAAACTAAATTAGTAATTTTAATGGCCACCTCTATTCGGACTCAATTCCGAAAATGGATTTTATCTATTCGGACTCAGGTCAGAAAAAAATGTTTTATTTGGACTCGGCTTCTAAGTTAGTTAAAAGAGTGTAACAATGTTGCATAAATATAACTCAATCACGGTAACCGGGTACTTAGTTGCACGGGCCCCTTGAGCTAGGAGCACGGTAACTGCTTTGCTCCCTTCATGACCTTGACGTCTGTCATTCCCTCCCCACGCTTTTTGTGTGTTCTGAGCGGAATGTAAGCAGTAAGCACAATGAGACCATCTATGGCCTGTTTCCCATTGTTATTTTTTATCTGGATCCCAAAAATAACAAGATGGCACAGCACAGCTATATATAAATGTATTCCATATAGATTGAAAACAATTCTAATTAGAAACTTCTCCACCCTAACCCCATCCATTTAATCATTTATGCATTAGGTCTAGTGTGCTTAAATATGCTCAAAGAAAAATGCATGTAAATTGTAAATTAAAAAAGTTGCAAATATACCATAAGTGGAAAGTCCATTTATTTAGATCTATTCATACACATACTTGTTGGGATATAACGAACAGTTGTCATGCAGTAGAACATGGCTATAGCGGGACTTCAGGTTCTAGAAGAAAAATAAATCCCTCTGTCTGCAAGTTCCCGCAATAGGAATTAGTGTTGGCAGCGGTACCAGCGAAACCCACTGCCAGTCCTTTCCTGGCACTGGGTGTCGAGAACCGTTGGCTGTGCGTCTCGCGTATAGCGCCACGATCAGAGCCTCCCGCACCCCCCCTCACATGTGCATCTCTCCGCACCACCTCTACCAGCCACATGCCCCACCTCACTCATCACTGGACGACCAATCACAACGCCGCACTGCTGACTTTCTGTTTGGAGCCCGCCTGCTACAGCCCCCCATCCTCCAACCCCCTTCTCCCAGCTAGAGCTCGCTCAATCTCTCCAGCTGTAGCCTATCCAAGTTCGGGACTTTCCTTTCCCCGCTAAACCCAAGCATAAGTATTTGAGTTTTCATAGGAAAAAGAGGGATTCTGGTAAAGTCCCGCTGTAGTGGGTGCCGCTATAGTCTTGTTCTACCGTACGAGGAATGTTTAAGTAGTAAAAAATAGGCTTACTAATGCCTAATTTTGAAGGTCATCTTTAACCTCGACCATGGGGCGGGGTCAGATGGAGCAGCTGTGCATCTAGCTCAAATGAAAGCGAGTTGCATAACACGATACTTCTGTGTAGAATGAAGGTGGACCTTCCGGTTACCGTGTATGTAGATTCGGAGATAAGATCTACGTGCCCGGTCACCGTGTACGTATACACTCCGTAGTAGAAAGTGGGCATGAGATGGGAGGGAAAGTATAGGAATACCAAACAGTCTACCTTTCTCTCTCTAAATTGACCTTCGGACAACTTTGTCAACTGTTAGATCTAGTTAAGTAGTGTTAGGAGACTCAACTCAACAAGCGGATAGTTAAAGAACATTAGGAGTATGCCATTGGCAGATATTTATAGTAACAGCCATCTTGGTTGACCTCACAAGGGGGATGCCAGCCGCCTCATCACCTGATCATGATTATTGATTATAAAAATAGCGGTGATTTTGCGAAGTGGAAGCGCGCAGTTTTCACTGGCACTTGACAGTGTTCAAGTTGACTAGACTAGATCTGATAGATTACAAGGCACTTCTTTGTAAAACTCTTTCGTCTTCTATAAAGTCAAAATGAAGTTGAAGCAGTTGAGAGGTCAGTATTATAAAGTTGAATCCATTTTTTTATATGTAGACAGCTACAAAGCAGTCTGGGGGGTATAGGGTGGGGGTGACGATATGGCAGTTAATGCTGTGATAGCTCGCGCTGTGTCAGTCTTCAAACCGATGACACTCGCCTGCAACTACGAGCAGTTAAGTGATGTGGTGTGCTGGCAAGATGTTGGAAGACATAATAAGACTTTGACTTCCACCTCTCTCTCATCCCCTCCTTCGTGTCCCTCTCGCACTCCATCCTCATATTTTATTCATTCTCTCAATATCTTTCCCTGAGATCCCCATTAAATTCAAGACTGGACACATTTTTTCCTCCCCTCCCCTTTTAACCCCCCTTACCCACCCCGCAAAAAAAAAAAAAAAACCCCACAAGGGAAGAACTGGGGAAATGGCATTTGTACGGCAGGTGGTAGTCTTATTATGTCTTATACAGCTGGTCCACTTTTTTCTCCCCCCTCCTATCTCTCCACTTCTCCCCGCCCTGCCCCTCCCTTCTGCCCACCTTTCCCCTCTCCCACAATACAGTCGGTGGTCACCCCTTGGACTATCCCGACCCTGTGACTGGCTCATTGTCCACTGTGTACGTGTGTGTATCTGTGTGTGTGAGAGTAAGTGTGTGGGTGTATGTACGTGTGTGTGTATGTGTGAGTGTACATCATGTGAGTAAGTCAAGTAAGTCAGTCTGTGGAACAAGGATTCTTTTGCCAAGAGGTCCACTTGCTTGTTTCCTTGAATGTTCACATGGCTGGGTAGCCATGGGAACACGGTACTTTCCCCGTTTCAGCCAAAACGTGTATTTTTGGTCGTAACCTAACTATTTTTGGGTGTAAGAGTGTGTAGTTTGTAAGTGAGGAGATGCAAGACAGAGGACACAACGAGGACACACGGTTGCGTGTCGGCATCACGACTGGCTATGGCCGAACTTCTGGCACTTGAAACAGCGCGGAGGCTTCAGCATATAGGGGCGCACGACAAGGAGCAAATATGATGCCGGAAAGGTGGCTGGAGGGAGACACGAATCAAAAATCTGAATGATTCGGTTAGTTTCAAGGGTGGTCTCCCCCTGCCGAAGAGTAATCCGGTGGGCGTGGGTCACACCCTCCCAATTTGCCACAGTGCAATTTCCTCCATGCTGCAGCCCTTCAATTCAGGGCTACGACGGACGCTGCCCTTCGAGCAGTTCAACTTTTGATACCGCACGGATGTACATGGAACATCGCCGAAGGTCATGGTGTTCAGGAGCTTGTTCATTTCTGTCTCCTTCTTGCTCTGTTGCGCACTTGACAAGGATAGCACCACAGGAAAGCTTCTGAACATTCGTGGGAATGTATCCCAGAACTTCACGTAGTGCAGACCTGCCACTCTATGAAATCTAAAAATCAGGATTTCTGAGTTAAAAAATCAGGATCTGGTGAAAAAAATCGGGACCAACGGCAAATCAGCCATAAAGGGCACTGGGGAAGGCGGGGTCCTGGTTCCCTTTTAAGAGGCAAGTATGCAAGGCAAAACTTTGACAGCATATATGTACTCGAGTCGAAGTTGGATAGACTGGGGGAGCGAAGGTCGCAGTGATGCTGAAACACTCGTAGTTTTGAAAATAGCTGACACGTAACTCTAATCATCCATGCAAACCGCCCGCGTTTAACAACGTTTGACTTCCATCACATCGAAAAAAAGATCGCGCCAAGGTTGTTCCTTTTTTTTCTTATTCCTTTCCCCTTAATTAGTACCTGTATCACGGCACGCACTTTAAGCCCAAGTGTCAAAACAATACCCCCACCCCCTCCCCCCGGCCGTCCACACTGGTTAAGTCCCGAAAAACGCCTCGACCAATGCGACCGGTGTGAATGAACTTTGTTGACCCCGACAGCCGACGGTCCCCGGCACACGCGCTACTCACCACGCGTACGAGGTCATGTCATGTGATGCGAGTGAGCGTTTGAAACTAGGTCGATTTTAGTTTAAATAACGTGCGTTAATCATCTACTAGACCTAGATTCGGCATAGATGCTTTAGAAAATAGCGTTCCAAGTTCTTGCAGATAAAAAGTCCAGTCGGTGTTTCCAAGCTAAAGAGATTGCAGAACTTTTTATATTTTTTTCTAAGAATCAGACGCAACAGACGCAACCACGAAAAATCAGGATACTGGCGATCGAAATCGGGAAAACCAGGACGCTTGAGATTTGGGGCAAAAAATCGGGATATCCCGATTAAATCGGGATGAGTGGCAGGTCTGCGTAGTGCATCTCCTGTCTTGAACAGATTCAGATCAGTGATTTTCTTCAGTGCGTCTTCTGCACTGAAAATGGCCACGTACGGCTGCCATGGAAGCTCAGTTGGAGGAGGGAGGGCAGAGGCAGCCGCACCCGCTTCGGCGAGCCGAGACTTCTTGTTTGTTGGGAGCTGGGGAAGGGTCTTTAGAAAGTGAGGGTTCCACAATGTGTTTGGATCGTGTTTAGACTCTGGGGCTCCCCTCCCGCCATCAAGCCCAACAAGGGGGCACATAGCTCGGATGACCAGAGCAGTGCCAGGGCTATCCCGGAGCTATACTCTTCACCAGAGAGCAAAATACCCATCCGTTAAGATTGACCCAGGGACTGAAGGGGTTTCTTTCAGCTCACAACGGATTGAGTTGCATTGGCCGTGCCACCCTCCAGTCTAAGAGGAAAACCTGGGCCAAAGAGGTGTGTTGGCGAGGGAAAGTCCGCAAACTGATCTTACTCAACCTCCAGGTACCCGGTTTCCCTCCGCACGGGAGTAGCGTTGTACCCGAAATCCAAAGGGTTCGGGTCCGTGTGCGCCACCTCGTCATTTGTGGGGTTTCACCTCCTACAGACGGGGTAGTGGGTCTGTTTATATCCCTGACCCACGGGGGGCATGAATCTGTTGTCGTCAGCTGATGTCGCTGGTGGTTTTGCTCTTCAGTGAGTCATTGATGATGGCTTTTGTGTGTGTGTGTATGTGTGTCTTTGTTTGAGAGTGCACGCGCGCGTGTGTGCACATATGTGTGTGAGCATGTGGCATTGTAACAGTGACATTGTGTGTGTCAGTACAAGTTATAAAGCATTAAACAAGGAGACATACATTTCTTTGTCCTTCCTTTTTTATACCCCCCATCCCCCCTTCACCCTGCTCCTCTTTCCAGTTTTAAAGTGATGTGGTGTTTCTTCCCCTTCATCTTCACCCCACAAGCAGCCCCCCCCCCCTACTGCCTTCCCGCTTTGAGTCTTTCCTGTAATTTGGTTCCCCCTAGCCCCTAGTATACAGCATTTGCAACTCACAGTAATTTGCAAGCCTTGTAGTTTTGATTTAGATCTGCTCAATTTGCAGCTTAGTGTCCTATTCAGCCCAGATCTCTTGTAAGTGCTTAATTTCTTTTCCTTACAAAACTGTAAAAGAAACGATACGGATCGAAAGTCGAAAGGGTCGATCATGCACTGCGTTGTTGAACTTCGTTTGAACTTGCTTTTGTATGTAGGCTTATAAATTCTTAGTCTTCTTCTTCTCAATTTATGAGTGTACAGCATCAGAATCAATCTTCATACGTAGGCTTATGCTTAGGCAAGTCTTCTTCTTAATTTACATAGTGTACAGCATCAGAATCACAATCTGGGCCTGGGCGGTGAAGAAGGGTGCTGCACATCTCACATCGTGCGATCGTGTTGCCACCATCATGACTGAAAACAAAGTGGGAATCTCGCAATGTCGTCAACCAAGATGGCTCTTACTATAAATATCGGCCAATGGCGTACTCCTTTATGTTTTCTAACTATCCGCTTGTCTTTACTCAGTCCAGAATCAACTTACCTTTCCAACATTTTCATCAATTTCTTCTTCTTCAGAGTAGTCCTCTTCACTGTTGTTGATTTCGTTTTCTTCTTCTACATGTTTGCCTTCCATTTTGCACATCCAACACAGAGAAAAAACTCAACAAGGAAAATAACACTTCTTGTAAAAGTCCAAGACGACCAAGTCCAAGCCAAGGGAGTAGGAATTTGTCAATTTTCTTGGTCAATACCACGTACTGTAGATCTAATAGTAATAGTCAGGAGTCAATGGATCATAAACAGACACACACGTACAAGAACGGGATATAATATGAGCAACCTGGGTTATAATCCTTTCATTCTTCGCTACAACTGCCACTACTATCTAAGTCTACTAGATTTAGATCTACCCCTCCCTTTCTAGTCTATTCTCGGCTTGCACATTACACTCAGTAAGCTATTGCACACACGAGTGGAAACAACAATGTGTTTGAGCCTTGTGCTGTTATGTTTGCCAGATTTCGGTATTGGCAATCGACTAGCAGAATGAAAGTGTATTATCAAGAAGTGTATAACGATGGTGTATAGCAATTTTTCGCTATGAACGCTAATATAAGTATGTCAAAAGTAAATTAGATGATATTGCAAACGTCTCTGTGAAAAAACCCCCACTTAATCCAGGACCATAAGGCTCTCATTAATCAGCGAGGAACCGTACGAAGTAATTTGCCAACTCGGTAGATCTACTGCGACGGTCTACAAGGGAAATCACTCCCAATACTAATATGTCCAGATTAATCATCCTAAATTCTTTTATCAACGCTTTCCCCTCGAAGCACAACAGGATAATACGGGGTGCCCACTACGGCTTGATCGGAGCGACTACCCGACTCGATCGCCTGAAACAAACAAGTTACACGTTTGTTTTTGAGGCGACCGAGTCGGGCCATCGGCGCGATCGGCTGATCTCATCCGTAGTGGGCACCCCGTATCATAATAACATTTTTATTTACTGCTATCATCATCGTTGTTCTCATTGACGGTGTCGCACTGATGAAAATGTTGAAGTTTTTATATGACGACTATTGTTTTTTCAAATTAATTTATTAACCTTATTTTTTTTAAATCTTATATTCTACAACACATGGCACCGTTTACTACACATGTAAATAAGCATGTAGGGCATACATTATTAATTCCTATTATCCGACGGTTGAAAGGGAAGCGTTCAAAATAAATCGTCGGATAATTTCTTTGTGGGTTTTTACTGTAAGCTTTCTATTTATGCTGGCCACCTCTATTCTCACCCGGAGTGAGAATAGTGCAGGCGAGTCTTGTGGCTATTCTCACCCGGTGCGCGTTCACCAAATTTTGCGTTCACCCTAAACCACAGAATTCTACACTGTGATAACAGAAAAATTGTAGAATTCTGTGCCGTGAACAAACGTTCCATTACAACTGTAGCCTACTAAAAGCGTACAATTTTGTCTGTGGGCAGTGGAGAGAGAGAGAGAAAGAGAGAGAGAGAGGAGTAGCGCGAGAATTTCCAGGCAAAACAAAATGGCGACCCGCGTAGTTCGGCTCGATTCGAAAAGTTAAATAGCCGTAGCATCTTTGTAGACAACCAAATTAATTTACTTTTGTGTTTTAACATCATTTTTTAACTTTGTTTTGGTCAATTTGATCGTCCACACCGATGGACAGTATTCAGAAAGAGACAGAGAGAGAGAGAAGAGGGGAGGAAGGAGTTGATCTTGCGAGAACTTCCGGGCGGGTGAGAATAGCCACTTTCTTCTTATTAACAATCTTCTTCTTCTTCTTCTTCTTCTTCTTCTTCTTCTTCTTCTTCTTCTTCTTCTTCTTCTTCTTCTTCTTCTTCTTCTTCTTCTGCACCGAAACCGCGGAGGGAGCTTATTTTTGGCGGATAAATATAATTGCTACTTACTTCCCCATAAAAAAATCTGGGGGGCATAACAGAAACCTACAGCTTCTGGTTGTGGGTTTGGTAGGCTAGCCTAGATCCAGCTTGCTTCATTGCTTGGCCGTACAGGACTGACAGTGTCTGTCTTGTCTTAGTTGGACGAAGGCACACTGACTGGAATCGAGATTTTGGCATTTGTGTGCCTGTTGTGCAACGACACTGTGCTGGATCTAGATCTAGTATTTCGAATGTTGATTAACTTGATTTTATACTCAGGATGTTGTATAGCATGTTGCCTTGGCCATGATTTTGTGATGTCATGGACAAGTTGGTCCACGTTTTGGCGTTCCATCTGTCGTTCAACATAGAATCTAGATCTAGTATTCAAAGGACGTTTGTGATTTTGCCTGAACTGTTGTCAATCTGCTTTGGGTGTGGCCCACATAGAATCCAAGGATTACATTGTAAGAGTTTCCTGTGTATATCGACCTGAAGTCTCCATTGTTGTCGAACTCACAATGACCATGGCTTCCAAAGATGTGAGTCAAGAGAGTGTCTGCCTCTGTAGACCTGGTTTATATTAGATCTAGTATTATTAGCCTACAGTAGGCTACATGTACTTTCTTCATTATTTTTAGGCAGGGGCTATTTGCAACGCCGCGTTCTGAATGCCTCCCGTGCTTTTTGAAATGAAAGTGGCTATTCTCACCCGCCCGGAAGTTCTCGCAAGATCAACTCCTCCCCTCTTCTCTCTCTCTCTGTCTCTTTCTGAATACTGTATCGGTGTGGAAGATCAAATTGACCAAAACAAAGTTAAAAAATGATGTTAAAACACAAAAGTAAATTAATTTGGTTGTCTACAAAGATGCTACGGCTATTTAACTTTTCGAATCGAGCCGAACTACTACGCGGGTCGCCATTTTGTTTTGCCCTGAAATTCTCGCGCTACTCCTCTCTCTCTTTCTCTCTCTCTCTCCACTGCCCACAGACAAAATTGTACGCTTTTAGTAGGCTACAGTTGTAATGGAACGTTTGTTCACGGCACAGAATTCTACAATTTTTCTGTTATCACAGTGTAAAATTCTGTGGTTTAGAGTGAACGCAAAATTTGGTGAACGTGCACCGGGTGAGAATAGCCACAAGACTCGCCTGCACTATTCTCACTCCGGGTGAGAATAGAGGTGGCCTTTTGAAACACAGCTTTCTGAATAAGCCTAGCACAGACTGTGTAGTATACACACGGTTTTTGGTATTAAAAGCCATCGTTTCTACATATAATAATATGCAAGTGGCTATTCTCCGGCGTCGCTTCGGTCAATAGATCAGAAGCTATTCTCCAGCGTCGTGCTGCTGGTCTATTACTAATAATTTGTCGGCGCAGATTTGCAAATGAAATAGGCAGGATTGGGTTGATTTAAATCAGTTGATTTTTAAAAGGCCGGCACTATTTCTCCGAACGTTCGGGAAAATAAAGCTGGGCACTATTTCTCCGAACGTTCGGGAAAATAAAGCTAGGCACTATTTCTCCGAACGTTCGGGAAAATAAAGCTGGGCATTATTTCTCCGAACACTCTGAAATCTCATCCTTTCCCGCAAATTTCGGATATTATAAAGATCTATAATTAAAGTATAAGCCTACCAAAGATTGTTCGTTTACAATGTGGTTCGATCGGTCCAAAAAATGTCCGCAGTAAATATTTATATAAAGAAATGCTACAACTCCAAACAGTTTTTCGCTACAGATATGACGTGTTGCCTATGAAGGGTGCTGCTCTTAAACGTAATGTGTTGTGTTCACTCGTGTGCTGTCTAGATCTAGATCTAGATCTACGGAGGGTTATTGATAACGACACATAGAACTGGCATCTGCGTTTGTCACTGCTGCGACCAATGTACTGACACTGGCAAGCCTCTTAATGTGTGTTATTCCATAATTTACATGTAGGCTAATATCCTGTACTTAAAAAAAAAAAATTACGCACATTTAGGGTTAAAACAGCAAATTTTCTTCGGACAGGTGGACACACGCCCTTATTTGTTAATGTTTGTTGTTGTTTGTGGGTTGTTCTAATTTTGATTTCATTCTGTTGTGAAACCTTTCTTTTTCACGTTTTTACACTCATCTAAAAATCTCTAGACTAGCTCTTGAAAATTAAATAGATATAGACCCAAAAATTTGCTCCTGTGTGTGTGTGTGTGTGTGTGCGTGTGCGTGCTGTGTGTGGTTGTAAGTGGAGAGTGAGGAGTGAGTGTGTGTGTGTGTGTGTGTGAGTGTGTTTTCAGTAACAGTTCAAAGTATACAAAAATAGAAACACAAGATCCATTCACTCCATGGCTCATGAGTCGTTCGTCTCTTTCAGTTTCACTCATTCATTTAATTCCCCTGTTCTCTCCCGCGGCTCATCCCCGTCCGCATGACCCGCGGCTCATCCCCGTCCGCATGACTTTCATACCCCACCCCCTCCCTCCAGGCACACACAAAGAAAATCTCACTCATTCCCTTGCACCATGCGAACCATGGACAATAATAGGCAAAACACTGCCTGAGCTGCATTCCTTTCGTTCGTGAGCTGTGGACCAGGCCAGGGAGGTCGGTGTCGTCGTCTTGTAGTTGCTGTCGCCTGTGGATACACTCGCACATTCTTCCTTTCACCCGCTCTTTCACTCACACTGTCTCTCCATCCACAGCTCAGCTCGTCATACGTTCAAAAGTTGCCCACTGGTCATGTTTAGTTAGTGTGTGTACATGTGCATGATGGTGGTGGGTGTGTGGTGGGTGCTACTGAAGGTTGTCTGTAGGCGGGCTTGCCATGCGGTGCTCCTTCCCAGACCAGAGGCAGAATGAAAGTTGGCGCCGAACTCTCGCAATAAATAGGCCAAAAATCACGAGACCGGAAGCCGGAAACCGTTCGTAGAAATAAAGATCGGCACTATTTCTCCGAACGTTCGAAGAAATAGTCACTTCGTTTTTAAAATTTAAATCAACTTGATTTTTAAAATAAAAATCAGTGATTTAAATCACTCTTTAAAAAAGTTCTTTTTATTCAGTTTTTACATATTTCAACATTCAGAATTCCTTTCCTAGTCCGAATAACATTTTTTCATATTCGGACTCGAGTCCGAATATGAAAAAATGTTATTCGGACTCGGGTCCGGAAAAAAGGAAGTGTCTTCGTTCTATAGTTCTAACGTTCAGTGCTTCCAATTTTCCGCCATTTTTTAGTCCCCCCCCCCCCCCCCCCCCATATATTCCATTATATATATAATAAGATTCTCATGTAGATTTATGTGGGGGAAAAATTGGCTGTTCAATCTTTAAAATTTTATATTAAGAATGTAGAAGAATCCCCATTCATGTCCTTCTTTTTGTTCCAGTCAAGCGACTGTGTTGTAACAGTTACAATTGAACTTGGGCACCAAGCCAACTTCCTGAAGGAGCCATCACCAGAAGGATTCACCCATGATTGGACTGTATTTGTACGGGGCTATGAAGGCAGCAGATTGGAATACTTTGTGGAAAAAGTAGTCTTTCGTCTGCACAAGACTTTCAAAATGCCCGTGAGAGGTAAGTAGCCTTTACAATTGTTAATTTTTTAGCACTGCACCGTGCCCATTTGATACAGTTAAGGGCAGCCAGCTTTTCCTCCATGGAGGGGCAAAAGCTACCACTTTGGCATCGTTTGATCAAATCCTCCAAAATCAGACATGTTTGTTTTTCTAGGTCACGGGTCTGATACATGTTATGAAAACTGCTAATCACAAGGTTGCTACTACATATTGCGGGGTCAGACCTTCTATCTACACATGGAATGGGACAGGCCCTAGTAGACTTACAGGACAAATTTGATGAAGCAAGGCAGAGACCAGTTTGATAGTGTGCTCTGGCGCTGCCATTAACTCTCCTGCCTTCAACATGAATGGGGAGAGTGCACGCACGGGACATTATGATTGTAGTGAATAGGTTTTGTTTTATGAATACAGTGAATAATGAACTAACATTTTACTGGGCTGTTTCATTATCATAGTATGTATCTCATGACATTTCATTTTTATCCATCGTTCGTAAGTTACACAGCAAATTCTGTTCCTTATCCCCATTTCCCTTCAAATTTGATAAAGTTGCTTGAGCATTTTTTCAGCCATTTAAAGAAAGGGAAAGAAAAAGACCAATTATTTGTATCTTGGTGTGGGATTTTATAACATGATATTTATATGTCATAAGCTGTAATGAAATACATCCATAATGACTCTTCCATTTTGCCACTCAGTATGTGTACATCACCATGTATTGTATTAAGTCATTCAGCTAAGGGACATTGACATATGATAAATTATAACAAACATGCAATTGTATTGTTGGTTGGCCCAGAGCAGTACCTTTTTTTAGTTAGGGTCTGTGTTTTGTTTCAAGTCAAATCCAAATTTACCCCCTAGGGCAGTGCCACTGACTGAAGTGTCTTTAGGCCATTCCCAAAGGGGGGACATTTCTCGTTCTAATGCACAGTAGAATTGTAAATGGGCTGATCTAACAATGTCATGCTCATAACTGTGCCTGAACTACAACGGGGAACTGCTGCTTTTTCTTTCTTAATCCTTACTATCGTCATTTTTCTCTTCTTTTTTTGTATGTTTGTGACACTCATGTGACCCGCTATTTGCAGGATGCCTTGATAGTCGAAGCAGACTTTGTGCTGTTGAAGCTAGAGAGGTGAGCAGAGTGAGTCTGATTCCCTGAAAGGACTTCTCTGTTGACATCCACCCCTTGGCGTTCATATGAACTTATGCAGTTGCGGGTGCCGTAAAACCTCAACTGAAACAAAAAACAAATACGAATTTTGTTCCATTGTAGTCTTCCATTTTGGTTAGTATAACAATGCCCAAATTTTTTTTAAAAATCCCTTGTTTTCATTTGTATTTGGAGACCTGTATACACAAATATTTTAATCTGTTTCTTAATACCTTTATGTTCCAGTGATCTCAGAGCCTCCATATAGAGTCAGTGAATGTGGCTATGCAGGATTTATTCTTCCCATTGATATCCATTTCAAGAACAAGCAGCAACCTCGAAAGATTAACTTTATGTACGACTTGTTTCTGAATGCTCAAGATGGACCGCCAGTGAACAATGTGCGGTACGAAAAGCTGAAGTTTCAGAATCCTACACCTGAGTTCAAAGCGAAACTTATCAAAGCTGGAGGGGTAAGATTTACAAAATAATTTACTTGAAATTTTTGTTGTTCTGTTTCAGTCTGGGGTCAAAGTTGTGAGTGGTTGGAGGGTGCCACTGGTAGGTCCTACATTTTTGTTTCTGTCTGTCGGTCACTGTCTTATTTGTCCTATCACTAAATGATCATTATTGTGTCGATGTGCTTCTCTTTACTCAAACAAACAATGGAGATATGGGGCTGTCATTAACCCTTTCACTGCCAGAAGGTATGTGTTCCTACTGTCAGCACTGATTTTCAGCCAAGCCTGTCCCCCCCGGACAGCAGTCTCATGTTTCAGTCTTAATGGACTTGTTGTCTAGATCCTGTCCACTCGTGACACATATCCAGACCCTGGGTGGGTCTTCTATTGTGTCACTTTTCTCACAGTCCTTATTTCCAGTATTCCCAATCTTACCCATAATTTCAGAAAACTTCTTAGTCAAAGAGTGAAATTTTATTCATTTTTAAAGCCATTTTGGTGATTATGCTTTTCAAGAACATGTGTTTTGTCTGCAAGACCAGACTTGTATTGATCGTTATGGTGCCTAGCAGTAAACACAAACTAGTTAATTTAGTACTGAATTGCGCATATTTTGTTCCATAATACGAATCTACGCTGTGTGCTTGTTAGGTGGCTAAATCTCTGTACAGAAGAATTGCAGCTAGATGATTAGCGGCACACATGTAATATCTTATGGGCAACTGCGAACGGAAAATTTTGCCAACTTCTATAACGTCATGGTACGGCACAATGCTAAAAATGACGCATTTTTGTGACTTGCCTGGTCCAACATAAGACAATGAAGGGGAAAAAATGACCTATTGTCTGTTTACACGCCTTTCCCTCCTCCTCCTCTCCCCGACCACCACCATCATTCCACTTTTTTAAGGTGCGGATACAGTAGGACATTAGTTAACCACTTGTTTTTTTAAAAATTGGAAATTGTAATAATATAATTTTTTTTCTCTACTGGTTGCATTTTCAATTAGCTACTTCTTATACTCCACGTAAACAGTATTCACATCGTGCTGATAAAAAAGGTGCATTGATGGAAACTTAGCCTCATGAAACTAGTGTTTGTTTCAATTACCTTACCTATGTCAACTCAGGCACTTAATCCTCCCAAAAATGTTACTTGAGTTATTTTTATGTACTTTAGAAAATGTTACTGTGTGAAGGCTTTGGGCTTGACAAACTGACCAGACTACAATTGCCTTTTTAATGTTTATGAGTGATTTCTTCATTGTGTTAGTTGCCTCATATTGAGGTGTCTTTTTAAATAAAATTACGTTTCTTCTGTATGATGAAATTTGTCATGATGGGAAGTTGCAGTTGGTTATGAATGTGAGAAATGTATGGAAGATCAGGGTTAAAGTCAGAATTCTTCTCTTCTTTTTGGGAATGATTTTTTTTTTACAGTATACTGTTCTGTCTGGGGGACAAAGTACTCTGCCATTAAAGTGCCCATTGTCTGTTTAAATACTCCCCCCCCCCCTCAACCACCATTCATATATTTCTTTCTATTCTCTCTGTTGCAGTGGAAATTTTGAAGCTTTTTATCCCCTTTGAATTCAATGTTCATGTGTATTAAAAATAAAAATGTTCTCTTTCAGGTTGAGCAAGGAGTAGAGCCTACACCACAGCCATTTACTGACCTATTTGGCACTGCAATTAAGCCGAAAGCTGAAAAGAAACGAGGACCCAAGCCGTCCAAAGACCCCCTTAAGGTAAAGAGTTGTCATAGCTATCTTTGTTCATATAAATTGTAATGAGAAGGAGGCTTGATTGATTTTGTTTCTGATAATGTCAGCCTTATCTTATTTTTAGTCTTCACTTTTATTTCGAGGATGAGGTACTGAGAAGGGTCAAAAAGAATATGGAGCAAGATTTTACTGTGCTGTTCACAGAATTTGTGGTTGGCGGGTGTTCTCGTGTGTTTTTTTTCTTCTTTCCTGTCAAACATCTATAATTTTTATCTCCCCTCCTTCTTTTTTGTGTTTGTTACTCTCTTGTAACACCTCTAATCTTCGCCACTTATATGACCTTATTATGTTGCAAGTGCCGTAAAACACTTTCTAAAACTAAAAAAGCCGTTCACAGTGGTTGTAAAGAATGAAAAGACTGAAACAGAAAATCGGGTGGTTTATGGAGTCTGCTGCTTGTTCTTCTCAGTGATGCTATTGCTTTTTTGTTCTAATGTGTTCCTATTGAGACATGGTGCTGTCTTGTCATTAAGTACTGCTCACTTGCTTTCTGGAGGTTGAGATCAAGTTGGAGTTACAAGTTTTGAAGGTGGACCTTACATCTTTCTGTGAAAAAAAAATAAAAATCAGAGATATCACCATCATTTCTTTTCCGCTCATGGTCACGGGTTGAAAAGAATTACATTATGTAACTTTTAACTCCAGTTAGCCTGAAGGGATCTTTTATTATTGTCTGCCAATTGGTACTGTTTTTTTAATGCATATATGGGTAAAATTGTGCAAGTCAGAACACATTTATGCTTTTTTTTATCTTCGTAAACCACCAGTGACCCTGGTTTTTATTTTGGTGCTCCAAAACTGGTGTGGATGAAAAAGAATTTAAAGAGTTTGGTTGTCAAGTGTCAGCAGTTGTGATTCAGGAGTCTGAGTATAACTATAAGGCTTTATTAAATCAAACTTATCCTTCATCTGTTGTTCTGTAACTTGTAACTGATAATAATATGGTGAAAGAAGACTCCTTTTTTTGATCAGCAGTTGAGTTTTTAAATGTACATGTGCTTGATGTGAGCTTGATCCTGTGAAACTGAAGTCTTGTTCTGATATTTTTTTATACTTACTATGGGGTAGATATGGTTCCAGCTTTTACACATAACTTCCACCTGCTCAGAATGAAGCCCAGTCGTATGTAGTTTTCTTCTTTTGTATTTGTTAGTAAGATGAAGTTTATGATGAAATTAATAATTATAATTTTTGTTTCATTCTCAGGAAAAAGTCAAAAAGAAAAAGAAGAAATCTGTGTCCCCTGCTCAGTCTTTGTCATCATTATCCCCAACAACATCTGATGATGAAGAAAAGATTCCAGCTAAAAAGGAAAAAGAACTATCTCCTAAAAAGGAAAGCTTACATTCCTCTCTGATGTCGAAAAAAGAATTGTCGCACAAAGAAAAAGATAAGACATCTTCATCAAAGCATAAGCTAGACTCTCTCCATAAGGAGCACGTGAGCTCTGAGAGGGAGAAAGAGGTGAAACCTGTCAAACATAAGTCGAAGGACAAAAAGAAAGATAAAGAAAAGGAGAAAGAAAAAAGTTCGTCCTCAGGACATAGAGACAAAGATACTCATAAAAAAGAAAAAGATCATAAGAGCAAAGATTTAGAGCACAAATCTAAAGTGACAGAGGTTTCTTCAAAGAGTAAAGAAACAGATAGTCTAAAAGAAAAGGATAGTTCAAGCTCAGCTGGTAAAACGTCAAGTTCAGCTTCCCACTCAGACAGAAAGAGTTCAGGAAGTAAGGAGAAGCATTCACATAAGGACAGAGAGAGTAGAGAGAAAGATAGCAGCACTTCAAGTAGTAAGGAAAAACATAATTCCAGTAGTAAAGATAAAGAAAAACATAAAGAAAAAAGTTCTTCACACAAATCAGCATCACAGCCATCTTTGTCGAGCACTTCTGAAGGATCCAAGAGACCTAAAGAGGATTCAGGAAAAGACAGAAGCAGCAAAGAGAAGGACAGACAAGAAAAGAAATCTCATAAAAGACCTGTTGAATCTCCTGCTCGGGAAGAGGAAACTGAGCATAAAAAGTTCAAGTCAGCTCCTTCCTCTGCCAGTACGGAAGAAAAGACAGTGAAGCCAAAGGAGAAAGAGAAGGAGAAAAGCAGCAGCAATGTAACAAAACCACCCAAAGAAGGCAAATCATCGTCAAGTATATCAAAAGATAAACCTGACAAGAGCAAACACTCAAGTGAGCATAAACATAGTCATGAGTCTAAGCACAAGTCAAAACCAAAGAAAGAGGAGGAGAAAGATGCAACAGCAGTAGCAGCAAAGGTCAAGGATCCAGAAAAGGTGAAAGAGAAAAAGAGGGTTAAATCAGAAGGCCTGTCCAAGTCTCAAAAACTGGCTCTGACTGCCGATTTCCAGCCTCAGCTCTTGTTGTCTCCTATAAAAAGTCAGTCTGAGGAGGAGCATGAAGAGCCTCGCGAACTGCAGTCTCCCGGTGCTGAGGAAAGACTCTCTGTCTCAGACACCAAGAAAAGCTCTAGTCGAAGTCGCCATCGTAGCAGCAGCTTGTCATCTCATAGCCCTTCTGCGGTAAATTCCGACCGGGAAGCATTGGAGGATGAAGAGAAAGTGAAACAGATAACTTCTGGACTCACAGACAGTGACAGTGATTCGGAGGAGGACCAGCCCTCCATAAATTCATCGCACAAAGATCTGAAGAATGTTTTCAGCAAGCAGACCAATGACAGTGAGAGTTGTGAAGTTTCTAAGCCATCCAAAAATTCACCGGAGCTGTATAAAAAGGGTGTTCAGGAACCCAAGATGGAAAAGGATGGTTCAAGCAACAGTAAAAAAGTGTCCAAAAGCCATTCTAAGAAAGATAAAGAAGAGAAACCCAGTATTGTGGAGGTGGTTAAGTCAGAGGAGACTGAGACGAGAGGACTAGATATCCTGGCACCAAATGGCATACCCATTGGAGAGTTGATCTCTATAAATGAAAAAATTGAAAAGGCTCAGTTAGAAGCAAATCAAAGCTTGTTAGATAAGGTTGTTGATGTGATAGGAAACACTGATGACTTTGATTTAGATGACACTGCATTGTTCTTTGACATTTGCAGTGTGGATAAAAATGTGATTTTTCAGATTCAAGATATTTTGAGGGGTTAGTGCTTGTGGTGTTTGAAATTATTATTATTATTTATTTTATATGCTTGTTTACCTCGTGGTTATAAATTGTGCTAAAATGTGTTTATTGTGGCATCGGTGGCCTAGTGGTTAGGTTCTCAGACTCGCAACTGTAAGGTCGTGGGTTCAGATCCTGTCAGGGACCCGACGTTGTGTTCCTGGATGGCACTTTACACGAATTTTCCTCACTTCACCCAGGTGTGAATGGGTACTCAGCTATAGACAGTGAAAGATCTTGTCAGTTTATTAGTGTTTGAGCTCTTAATCAGCTGCTTGCATTGCATGCTTCCCGGGAAGCTGTGAATGTTTCTGAGTGTTCTATGGTCTGCTGGGGTAATAATATAGTGTAAAGTGCATAGAGCTTGCTGTAGAGTGGGTTTGTGCGCGATACAAATGGTATTTATTATTATTATTATTATCATAGAAGGAAGTTTATGTTCAGTGCTAAACATTCATTAAGGGTAGGCTAATTGTAAATTTGTTATATAGTGTTCTCCTAGCTCTGAGAATTTCATCCACTCATTCCACGTATGTCATTAATTCAGGGGGTAGGGGTGGGGGTGGATGGGTATCTGGTCAAGAAAAGTGGGCTTGGTTATTGGTGTTTATTCACCTTAACCTTTGCTGTTGCAAGTGGAGAAATATATGGGACTTTCGGAGTGAAAGTGCTGGTCAATTGTGTGAATCGGCTTGTTGGTGTGTATGGTTGTTTCTTTGCAGGAAGTTGGATGGAGTGTTTTCTTTTCATTATCATCATTTTACCTCGGATTCTTGCCAAAGTAATTGTTTAATGTTGAAGTCAGTTGATGTAATGTACATTAAATATTTATGTGCGGAACTGTCGCTGGAGGTTTGATTCAATGGATGAATTGTTCATGTATTGAACTTGTTGTAGTAGCCAGTTGTCTTTAGTAAAACTTCAGTTATTTGATACATTGAAGTTATAAGGGCTTTCTTGGCACACAAACATAAAGCTACGGTGCTTGCAATAGAGGATTCCGTATGTGTGTATGTTAAATCTTTCATTCGCATTGTATGCAGGTGCTCTATATTATAATATATGTGCTAAGCTTTTGTTAACTTAAAAAGATCTTTTGTTCTAGTAAATCACCTGCTATTTTAGGTACAGAAATGTGTAGGAAAAATCCAGTTATCTTATTATTATATATTCCATTAGCAGTATTCAAGTACAAAGAGGTTTGCGTAAAAAGATGTTGGAGACTTCAAAATTTAGATATATGACACTTCCTTTTTCTTTTGCAATCTAGGAATAAGAAGGTACATTGTACTTAATTAAATTAATTTAACATTGTATAACTAACTGCAGGGTGGCACAGAAGTCATAATATCATATCGCATGACCCTGCACCCTCTTCAACACATTTTGCATAGCGTCAGTAGGCTTGTTTATTGTTTTGAGTGAGTTCATGAATTTCATCCTCAGTGATTATGTTCTGCTTTACTTGCTGAACGTCTTGACGCAAGCTGTTGTAAACATGTTTCTTGAGAAGCCCGTAAGCAAGAAATCTGGTGCACTCAAACCAGGTGAACTGGCTGGCCAGTTGAAATTTTCACCTCTTGAACTGATTCTGTCTCACTGTCTCCTAACATGGTTTTACCAGCTGTACAGGTATTTACTGACTCCACCTTGTTTCCACCACGTGCCCGCTGTGTCTTGTGGTGCTGGGAACTCAAAGTACTGTAACATATCATGGTATCTTGCTACTGTTACCCCTGAATCTGTCTTATCCTCAAAAAGGTATGGCCCAGTCGTGCCTTCTGTAATCTGATGTCACACCTCACCATACGGTAACTTTCACTCAGTGGGTGAAGTTGACATTGGTGGACGATCCTCGGATTCTTGGTTCCCAAAAATCTGCTGTTTTGTTTGATAACAAATTATCCTTTAGGTGGAAAATATTATCTTCCATGATCAAATTATTGAAAAAGGTGTTGTCTTTTCTAGCTATTTGTTGAAAATGAACATCTTAATAATCCTGTGGTTTGTCTTAATGATGCAGTTTGACTTCTTACACCAGCCGCACCCAGTGTTGTACAGAGAGATCATACAGACACATGTCGTTCTGGGATCTGTTGAGTGCGTCCTTCTCATAATGCGAGTTCAGTTCTCAGTTTGGTGATGTGTACACAGTGTAGTCAAAAAGCTCAATAGTCACTGTGGCTTTAAAGGAAAAGGAAATCTCTCTTTAGAGGAACAAAGCTGCTGATGTTTGAGGGGTCCAAAAATATCGTAATGCTGCTTGTGGTTGGAGGGGCCAGTGGTAGCTCCTACTTCTTTACCGTCCCTTTGTTGTTTCTGCCCATCTGTCTTGCTTTTTCCTCAGCATTAGATTACTTTTTTGTGTTGATGTGCTTCCTTTGAACTCTCCACATAAGGTCAAGCAGGTTTTTGCCAGGAACACAGTAACACACAATTCTGACTAATGTCAACCTGATGCCATTCAGCTGGACGTCCCCATTGCATTACTGTCTGCTGTCCTATGATTTTCATGCATGTTTAATATATTTGTCAAACCTTTCCAGCAAAACTTTGAATGAAGATCAAACCCAGTGGATCTGCTCAATATGAGGTTCGACATTGTCAGAGAATTGGAATATAGGGCAATGGCTTTCTTATGGACACAACATGGTGGGGTGGAATCATTTTCAGTCTCAAATCGTTAACTCATAGAATTACCGTAAAGTGTTTAAGCTCATAAGCTACATGCATTGAGGTGTTTGTTAAATAGCTTACACTTTTATTTTTGTTTTTTAAATTCTTGTGCAAAAAGAATTGATGTTAGTTTTTGTTCCCAGCGCCTTTGGTAGTCTGAAATATATTTTTTCAATGAGTAACATTAAAATTGAAAGTTAAAATAAGCACAGAGAAAGAGATAGAGAGTACACAATGCTTGATTGTATGTTGCTGTTAGACTCCGTTGCCATGACATTTTGAATAACTTAACACTGCCAGATGTGACTATCAGCTGTCAAAGGACAGGAGATGGTGCCTATAAATATCATGTGTTTGACACGTCGTCACGGTCATAACTCAATTGCTCAGTCATTTTTCTTATTAAACTTGAATAAACACAGCTTACCTAAGTCAACCGTATGACTTAAGCAAAAATGAAAATGTCTCAACATGATGTATGTTTATTATTATAAGTAGGGCCTACATAAACAAAACTCTGTATACGATATAATTCCAATAACTTAAAATCTGGAATAATAACTTACGCAATTGTATTATGTCACTGATGATTCAAAGCAAGATGTTGTGGTTATGGAGATGTTCTTATTTACTTGAATCTGTGACCATACTGTTGACTTGTGTTCACAACAGATATTTCAGCAAAGAATAAAGATTGGGAATGTACTGCTGCCTACTACTGATAATGATTGTGTTTTTGTTTTTCTTGTTCTTTATGAAATATGATAGTGCAGTTTGTCTTCTGGGACCGGGGCTGTGAAGATCGTTTTAATGACCAGGCCACGTGTGCATGTACAAACTTTCATCGCTTCAACTTCAAGTCTTAGTCACCAGTGTCTGTGGTGTAGCCTTACTACTTACGGTGTTTTACTGATGCACACAGGAGACCCCAGTTCGATGCCAAAGTGGGGGAATTTTCATTGAGTATCTCGATATTTCTGCTGGTATGCTGTATTCCTTTGAAGTCCGGGTGGGGCCCCCCCGACAAAGGTCCGAAGCCTGCCTCATAGTAGTGGCATAGTTGATCTAACTTTATTCAACAAATGAGTGTTTTATATGATGTGATGTGGGTCAATGGCCTTAGACTTAAACACTGAATGAACTTACTTCTTAGAGGCCTACTTATTAAATTGTATGGATGGGAGAGTAAAAATACCTACTTTAAAAAAAAGTCGTAGTTGTTTCACTTTCCAAGTGCATTCTGTACTTGCTGCATGTCTTTTCATGAAAAAAAAAAAAGACAGATAGGCCTACTGTTATGAGTACTAATTGATGAGATACTTGTATTTATAGAGTTTCTCTTTCTTTTCTTGGCGTATGCTGGGATGCAGTCTTAATTGGCCTGGATTGGCTCTGAGAGGCAGAGAAGCACTTGCATCAGTCCACTTCTATTTTATCTAAAACTCTTCAATCATTTGTTGGAGTGATGATAATACAATGTATGAGTTTTATTTCAAGAGATGCTTCTCAATATATATATATAAAAGGAAAGGTGTAAAAGTGGTATAGTTTAATGCCCCTGTCAACACTATTATTAGATTAGGTTTATTTCAGGACCTCTTGAGTTAAATGTCCTTCTCCAAAAGGACTGAGCCAAATGTGAAAAGTCGTTTAAAGTAGGCCTATTATAAAGTGCGACATAATGTCGGACCGAGCAAGGGTGGGTGTGTAGTGTAAAGCTGGGGACACCTGGCTGAAGCCCCAAATAGATAAAAGTGAATAAGTAATAAGTAGTACATTCTGATAGGTCATACCTCTGACAATGCTTACTAAGCAGCACATGTTAATTATGTAGTGCAGGATTAAACCAATGGTGGTTAAACGATAATACTGCACCATGGAGTCTCATTAAAGTAAAATTCAGAGTGGGTTAACAACTTAACATAGAACAGGGCACATGGACGGGCCTGTACTTCAAGTTACTCCAATTACAGAGGTTGCAATCACAGCTGGAGCTTAACACTGCAGTCAGCATTTCCCACTGAAATAATTCCAACGGTCTGGATTGTGCAAACACCTTACTTAGTGCTGAACCCTACGGGGCAATTTTGTTATAAACTTCGTAAATCGCTGCTACTGCTAGTGCTAGTACAACAATATAACTGGGTCTGTTCAGTTGTGGGTGGTTGGCTGGTGCTCTGGTGTGGTTTGCTTCTTCTTTCCTATCAAACATCTATCGTCCTTACCTCCCCTTCTTCTTTTTTATGTTTGTTACTCTCTTGTACTTGTAACACCTCTAATCTTCTGGCGCTGATATGACCTTATGCAGTTGCGAGCGCCGTAAAACCTCTACAGTCCACGCCGGCATAAAGCACGTTTCGGATTCAAGCACACTAAACGGCTCTTACCGAATTTTTGCTATAAATAAATTACATGCCTAGTTTAAGCACGGTAACTTTGGCTTCAGGCACGCTTCATTTACACGACAGTCAATACTTTCATGATGACCCATCAAAGTTTGAACACAGTCTACACCTCAGCAGTGAGTGTTTTAAGAGAAACAAAAATGGCGCAAGTGATTGACACACACACATGCGCAGAGAGGAAGGCAGAGAGATGCACAAAGCTGCCCGCGTGGACATAGGATCTAGCCTAGGGCAGGGCAAAGCTACACATGGACAAAAAAAAAATACAAAGAGGGTCGGGGAGATGAGAAAAGGGGGCAGGCTGCGATTTCACCTTATTGCCCCTTGCTATCCGATAATCCTGATTTGGTATCACTATCACGCGCGAGGTGGGATCAAAGACCGTGTTTAGGGGGTGAAGGCGGTGGTATGAATGTGGGGCAGTGGTACGCACCGGCAGTGTGTAGGCCTAGTGTGCTGTATCGTGACTGGCCGTCTAAATTAAGTTTTCATTTCCCATTCGACCAAAAGACAAAACAAACAAACAAATGAAAACTACCATGGCGGGTAAAAATAACAGTGCACACTTTTGCAGGACCACTAAAGGCTTACTTACTAAGGGAAATTGCACAGGAAATATTCTACATGAAAATCTCTGGATTATATCTACTTCGCACTCAAGCACGCTTCAGCTTTCTCGAGATGACCGTGCTTAAAGCCGGAGTGGACTGTACTAAAACTAAGTTGTGGGTGGTGGGAAGTGCTCCACTGAATAGTTCTTTTACTTTCCTCCTCTCTATTGTTTCTGTCTATCAAAAAGATTGTCTTACTTTGTCCCTGCACTTAGTAAACGACCGTTATTAATATTACATGTAGGCCAATGTCAATGCTTGCGTTACTCAAAAGTCAAACTGTCTTTTTCTGTTTTGTAGGCTACATTGTTCAAGTTGACATAAACTTAAACTTAAATGCCACTAACACTAGTAAATGTAAAATATAATAAAGATGCCTGGTCCAAGCCCCCAGGATGTCACTAGCGAGTGCATACAACACTTAGTTTTCTCACCCTGACTTTCAGTCTCACGTTCGCCATCACTACCGTACACTTATTATATAAAATTTATTCATCATCACTAAACATATGAAGTACTGGTGCAAGAATCACCACTGTCACTAATATATACTAACGTTAACAATATCACTGCTGACTGATATCCTCTTCCAGAGTAATATAATATGTGAGGCATAGTGTTGCAATCAGGCGCTCGTCAAAATAAATAATTCAAGGAAATCATTCCGCCCAAGTAAATTTTTTTCGATTTTTTTGTTGTTGAGTTCAACACCTTTTTTTTACACCCAATGAAAAATATTCCTGCATGGATTGTTCTGGAAAACATTGATCAAAGGCACAAAAAATGAAAATGTGTAGTTTCCAAAGACACGACAGCTTTCGAAGTCACCAAACTTTGGCGGCCATTCTCTCGCAACCCTCACCTTTGACACCAAGCAACCCACATCTCATTCAATCTTGACCTCTGTTCAGGATGGATGGATATTTTTAAAATCAAAAGCAGGGAATAAACTTTCAGGTGAAACATAATTTAATATTATGACCACAAACTGATGAGTGCCGGATTCCACACGTTGTGACACAATCTCCATCACTTCACCATCTAAACATCTCTTCAGAGTTGTAATATATGCATGATATGACACAAAAGATGGCTGTTGTAGTGTGGCACGGCACGTTGCAAATGCCAAGTCACTGTAAAAGTAAAAAGCTAACATTTTCTCTCAAGAATATCTTCATTGTCCCATGCCCTGAAAATGTCCTGGCTTTCAAAGAACACAAACAAGTATGATATGCCTTCTTCATACAATGCTCGAAGTGTCACACCCCCCCCCTCCCCAAACTAAAAAGTTTTGTTTAGGCTGGAACAAGAACACAATGGTCAAATTTTAAAAAATTCCATACAATACTTGTCTCATTGCCTTTTATTGATCATGAAGACACTCATGAAATGTCAACTCCACAAACTGAGATCTGATTATGCACCAATTCAAAATTCAAGATTCTAGCAAACGACATGCACTGGCCAAGCACCTCTGCAGCACAAAAATGTATGTGAATTGTGAATATAGTTGTCTTGAGTTGAATACAGAACATAGCATGCATAGATCGATTATAGGTCAAAACTAAACCCTATCAATAAAGGCAATAAGGAATAAGTCTACATGTTTCAAATGCTTGAAATTATATTTTCACCTCATTCTTCAGAATTATGTACAGACAGCTGGCAGCAGTAACAAAATCCTCATCAACATTTTCACCATTCAGCCACTTTGCTACAATGAACATGACTCAGATCTGGAGTTGCTGCTTAGAGTCTATGATATGTAACAACAGTCGCTAGATTACAAACAAACACAAATTTTTCAGCCCTGTTTTAACAATACTAAAATTCCAGTGGAAGTGTAAAATTTGTTTCCATTAATAGAGATAAGATACAGTTAAATTCTAAGATTTTTCTCTGTTCAGTTACTCAAACTAAAAAGTTTTAGAAGTGGCTTATGTAGAATTCAATGACTGAATTTTTTAAAGTTAGGGACAAAAAGTGTGTTACAAAATAAAGAATTATTTAACTATCAACCCCCCCCCCCCCTCACATACACACACATACCCCACAGAAAAATAAAAATTCCTGTTCAGTCTCGACTACTATTAATCTTTATTTATAACATAGCCAGCGTTGAGACATGGAAACCTTTTTAAACACCTGAAGATATTGAGGTATCTACTGTACTGTAAACAAAAGTTGGATTATGGACAACAACATACAAAAACAACCCTATACACCGGCTTGTACATTCACACACATACATCACTTGTAACATGGGATTGAAAAGAGGCCCTTATCACAAATAAAACTTTGAAAAACCACCAATCCCGATCCCATCACACATCTTTGTACTTTTACAAAAACTAAACAAAGTTCCATGTTTGTCAGACTTGGCCTCCTTTCTGGAAAAAAAGAAGAAAGACAACATGTCAATACTGTGGCTGCATCAAATACATGCACAATGGTCTCTACTTAGGAACATGCCAGATAAAAATCTGTGCAGTAGTAATACAGTAGTCTCCACCTAAATGCACGCCATACAAAAGCACGCTCCACTCAAATGCATGCTTTCTTCATCTAACAGGTTTTTTACTGTATAATTTAGACGTATAAACACTCGGTCACTCCTTCTACACACCCACTCCGATCCGTGAAGCAAGCCGACAGGTAAAGATTAACAAACTAAAGGGAAATTTTCACTACAACCTGTACAGCTTGCATAAGACAAGCCTAGACAACCGGATATTTGGTGTGACTGCCCCTCACACCGAACAAAGAGAGAGATGGACAGCGTTTTCACACCCAACTTTCAACAAGTGGTTGGCAAAATCCGGATAACCGGATACTTCTCAGTGAAACATTATCCGAATTCAGACTCTTAAACTCTCTTTCCTGACCCGTTTGCCGAAGTGGGTGCACCCATATTTTGGAGTGGTTTTTCTGACCCATTTGCTGAAGCGGTTCATGACACATTTAATCGCAGAAGAGGTGCACTAACATTATCCGGATTTTGCTAAAGCGACTCATTACCCAGCCCTACTTTCAACAAACACATGGGACTAGGACTGGTAGCTGAAATGTTGGGAGGTTGGGGAACTGAATGTTTTTTGATTGGTCACTGGAAATGCATAATTGAGAAAAGGTTTCTGACAGGTGTTTGGGTGACTGCATCTAATGTATAGTTAGACCTAGGCCTATGATGCGCAACAACACACATGAACGCTGTAAAACACTACATAGGCCTAGATACTGTAGGATTAATCTAAAGATTAGTCTAGTGAGCCTAATTTAATCAGTTGTGCTCAAAGAACTTATAGCGTAGGCCTACTTGTTCAACGAATCACAAGAGAAATGTTTCTCTGAATGTAGAGATCTATGATTCTGAAGTCGTCCATGAATTTACGGTCAGGGGTGGTTGCTTGAAAAGCCATGTGGCTGGTTTGTCATCTCTATGACTATCACCAACAGTTTCCTCTCGGGCTATCCGTTCCCGACACTTTGTGGTGCATATCATTACATCATTAAGTCTGTCTTTCTTACCCCCCCCACTCAACACCTTTGTATTCTTAACCACAGTTGGGGAATCCTTCACAAAACCGTCACATGTCGTCACATTATCAGCCCAAAGTGACCCCCGCCCCAAAGGGAGGTCACTAGAATATCGAGGCAATGAGATGACTGTGTTCCTTCCTCCCTTTACACAGGTTTCTGTAAACGCACGCTCTGAGTAAACACACGCTAAGAAACCCTCCCAAGCACCGTGCCTTTAGGCGGAGACTATCGTAGAATATTTCACTCTATAAGAACCTGTTCTTAAAAATAAAAATCCACCTAAAATCTAAGTTTGATCTGAAGGAAGTAAACTTTTTTTCCAACTTGAATTGTCTTGCTTTACCAAAGTAATAATATTGTTGAAGCAAAAAGACCCTCTCCCTTGATGCCTGGGTGAAAGACTCCAACAAACTCCAAAATTGTACAATGATGTTTGTCAGAGTCTTGCATTCGGTCATTGATATAAGTCTTCAAGGTCTAGAAATGAACACTGTAGTGTAATATTGCCAAGTTCAATAAGACTATCCCAATCCCAAGGCAAAACATATATACATGCACTCTAGGCTTGTACGTCAATCTCTAAGCGTTATTTCAATGATTCAGGCATCTATTCCTCCTCTAAAGTGGTATTTAAAAAAATCCCAATGCATTAGGATCTTCAGTGGATCATATTTCAATTACAGATTAAACAGAAAACAAGGAAGTTAACCAACAGGACATGCAGCAGAGTGTTGGCCCCTGAGATCTTCCAAAAAACCTGATCTGCCTAAATATCCATTTTTTAGTCTCCCAGTGGTGGGTTTCTTTGGTGGAGACCACTTACAAAAATTTCTGGATGTTGGTATCTGTGACTCAACTAAACATACTCATCCCCCCCCCCCCCAACCTAAAAAGGGGGATACAACTACAACTAACTCCAAAACTATTATTTAGATAGTAGGATTTAAAAAATGGCCACTTCAGAATCCATGATAGAGAATGGAGCTTTCTCAATTGAACCCTCTCCACAGGTATGCTAGTGATGTGCATGTTTTTCTTTAAAGATCTCTAATTACGAGTCTACCTGGACCATATTAATACTTTCTCGAGCAATATTTCGCAACAGAGCAATACACGTACTGTGCATATGGTACATTAAGTGTTAAAATATAAACAGCAAGGAATGTCTTTTCTTTTCTCTGGCACCGGTCAAATACTTCTAATTCACTTGTCAGAATTTCACTTTCTCATAATTATCAGTGACTGCAGTAACATTCTATCTGAAATAATGCAGTCTATCTGGTGTGGAATTTCCTTCACACTCCTTGGTAGTGTAGATTGCCTATTTAGTTAACCTGGAATCACATTACCTCAGATGGTAAAGTGAGAACATGATTCCCCT